GTCTCATCTTTGGCCTTAGGCCTAGCCTTCCATTTTATGAGCATAGGCCTTAGGCGTTGAAACAAACCTGAAACGCAGCTTCAGCCATAAGGCTCTTCACGCTTCTCTTAAGTTTAGTTGCCGCATTAGTTGCCCAAGCCTCGAGGTTAAGTTTCAACAGTCCACCTGTGCCATATGTCCCGTCAGTCAAGTTATGAAGTTATGCTGCTTGTCATAGTCATAGAGCTAACCGTTAGCGTTAGCCCATAACTATACTTCCAATGACTCCATGTCCACGTCACACGTCCGTCTGAGACGTCTCAGAAGCGAGGATTGACGAAGAAGACATAGATCATAGATAGAGATAGACTGACATAGCATTGGCATAGTCATAGTGGCACAGTGTGACGTAGTGATGTGGTGATCACATAGACATAGACATAGACTGCCATAGCGGTGACATGCACTGGCATAGACATTACATTACATTGACATTGACATGACATATGGACACAGGTTCGGAACAGCTGCCGACAAAACACTATGCAGTATCAACGCTGGGCAAGGCTCGACATCGCAGTTGTGTTGACAGCAATCATTCCCAACTGATCCGTTTGCCACGGTCCTGAGACTCTTTGGCCCAGTGCGCTCAGTCTTCAGAGACCCGGCCATGGGCCGCCATCATGATGATGCATACCCGATGTCAGGCATGCCAAAACTGTCAGAACTGCTACATGGCTGCATCACATGACATGGCTGGAAGCCCCTGCCGCTACGTGGCACCATTGCTAAGCCGTATAATAAGCCTAAAATGAGCCCCAAAAGCTACAGGCTAAAAGGGTCTAACTTACCTTGCACACCACCTTGAACACCGCTTATACTTGACATGAAGCCTCGCAATCGTGTCCAGCAAAACAGCAGCATCGGGCAGCGCCAGCCACATGTAGCGAAACTACATAAATGACATTGCCTGCCTCCAGGTTCGGCAACATACCCGACCCGAGGCCCGAGGCCCTGTGTTGCGGTTTCGTGCTTAGTGCGCGGCACCGGGCGGCACCCAGCAAACGCCTCACTGCTGCTGGCCAAGAAGCCTCTTCACAGCGCCCAAGGCGACTGAAATGTTGCCGGCACTAGCCGCGGGCTGCGCGGGCTTCATCCACACGGCAGCGAGGCCTGACTGCAGCAGCGACAACACCACGGGAAGGGCCATCGCATTGCCGGCAAGGTCTTGCATCAGGGCCTGAGACGGAGGCTGCTCATCGTCGACTTGTTCAAGAAACCTGGAGATGGGCAATCCTTGAAGCATGAGTGCCTCCTGGCCCAGCACCAGACGTGGCGGAGCAACCAACTCCGTCCATAGAAGTTGGCCGGGCATCATAGTGGGAGCGATGTGGTTCCCGTTGGTCTGCAATGTCTGCATGTGGCTCCGGCCCACAGACTGGCTCAAGTTCCTAAACCCCGCCTGAGGCGCAGCAGCACGCGAAAGTTGCAGAACATCTTTCTCTCGCGCGGTCAACAGACTAAACCAAGCATTGCTTTGCAAATCCCTGGGTGGCTTTCCGCCCCAGCGGATTCCAAGTGTCTCCGCCGTCTTCATGTGCTGCTCGATCCAATTGCCTCCTCCCTGCTTGCGCTTCTTGCTTTCTGGCATCGAAGCCTTTTGCTCAAGATCCTCCAAGTGATTCAACACCGCTGGATCTTCATCAGACAGCAGCACCGCACTGACACAAGGAGGAGAACGAAGGCAAGAAGTCACTAGCCTGCGGAAGCATGCAAAAATGGCATCGACTGGGCGCGAGGCCATGCACAATTTCGGGCTCCGCTGGTTCACGAACAGGACATAAACTCGCTTTCGACGGCAAGGCAAGCCAAATTCCTGTGCGTCCGTCATGACCACCTGCCCAGCATAATCCAAGGCCTCCAGAGTGGCGAGCAGCAAGTCGAGGTTCGTCTGGGCATTGGCTGAAAGCTGTTCGTCGATGGCATCCACATTCTCGTACCTTGCAATATTGGCCACGGGCAAAAAATTCCACCGTGCTTGTGTGCAACCAACTGCATGAAAGCAGGCTCAACTCGAAATCAATTACTTCAACTTCAACTAATAGTAAATTGCACAGTGCACTGACCCGCAATGGCAATGACAATGACTCTGACCACCTGTACTAATGCAATACTCACCAACACTGTGCCAACACTGACCAGAACCCTAAGCCTAAGCCCTAAGCCGTAGCCTAACTAAGCCTAAGCCCCTAAGCCTAAACCGTAACCGTAACCTAAAGGCCTACAACACCGAAGACTTGGAACTAGCCTCGTTGTACAGGACAGGATAGTTGGCATCGCAGCATAGTTACAGCCTAGGACTCAGAAATAACTGCAACATCGGACTTCATAAAACTTTGAGATTTACAACCTTCAGTTTTGGTATCTGAGACTTACGGCTTACGGCTTACGAAGCTTAAGACTAGGCAGCCTAGGCAGTAGACAAGATTTCATGATGAAACACTTCGACTAAGGTGTTAGCAGTAAATACAAAATACTAAATACTACACAAATTATACACTCAGTCTAAATTTAGTCGTCGTGCAGAATGAGGTTGGGCCGGCACGCCTTCACGTAGCCCAGAAAGCCATGATAGGTCTGCGCCGAGCCGCCTTTCGACGTGGACTGTTCAAGAACCAAGCTTTCCTGGCTGCTGCGACCTGCGTTGGCTCTGCTGAGGTCTTTGCACGACGTCCCAAGGACCAGCAAATCTACTGTCTCGACTGGGCAGCAACGGTCGTGGACGGCGCATCCGGCTTCACCCTGGCCCAAGGCCGTAATATCCTCAAAGATGCAGCCATCTGGCTGCATTTTCAGAGGAGCGGAGCCAGAAATCGGCATTTGTTCTTCGATGGCGGTCGAGAGCAATACTTGCCGAATCCAAGCACGCTTGTCTTTGTTGGATTCGCAGGAAAACTTGTGTTTCAAGTGCACCTTCAGGCCAAGTTCATTCATCGCTTCGTTCAAGGCTTCGACCACAAAGTGCAGGCCTTCTGAGCCGGAACAACAACTGGCCCAGCTCAGAGACAGCTCTGTTTTGCGCTGCTCAACTGGGCCCAAGGCCAAATGCTCCTTGGGAAAGTCTGAGGCAAAAGTCTGCAAGTTCTCCTTGGCCAAGCGAAGCAGCAAGGAGCCATCGGCAATGTCACTGGCACTGCAAACTCGACCTGAAGCCTTGAGCATCAGCGCCGAGTGATCCGATTCATTTGGCTCCAGCAAGCGAGTTTTCTTGGCCTTGGCGGCAGGCCCCGACATGGCTGGGGATTTGCGGAGCAACTACAGGCTGCGCCTGTGCGGTCAAATCGCATCACAATCTAAGGATAAAATTGCTGCGACTTGACAAGCTGAAAAGGCAAGCTGTTGTGAACTGATATTACAAGATTACAAGGTTTCAGGAGCGCCTACTAAGCAAAATCAACAGCAATGAAAGCGATCTCAACAAATGCGTCTTTCAGTCGGTTGAGAATACTGAAGCATTGTCAAATAACAAATCAGCGGAACATGCAATAGAATGGCACTGGCATGGCAGCTGCATTAACACTAAATCATGTTTCTGGCTCATCGCACAGGCACAGGATTTGTGATATAATCGTAGTGATAGTTTAATCAGTTTAATAATAATGAATAATGAACCGTGAAGATGAAGAAATGAAGATGAAGATGATGATGATGATGATGATGCAATCGCTGTAACTTACCAGTGTTCACGATGGCAATGGTCCAATCGTCCAATGGCGCTATCGTGCTTTGTTATTCACAGCAGCACAGCAATACAAACGGCGACACGGCTACGGCACTGAAATACGCAGACTCCAACCAATATACATGACTGATTGACTAACCGACTAGCGACTGATTACTGATTGAATGCTGGGAAGCGAAATAAAAAATGATGAGAGTGCAGCAAAATCAAGCAAGTCACTGCTCGTTTTCACCGAGCCACCTTCCTCGAGCATCCTTGTGAAACGGCGCCGTGGCCAAAGGCCGAAGCCAGTGGGCCTGACTGGCGCCGAGCATCTGCAAAAGCTGCGCTGTGGATCGCAATTCAATCCTGTGGACGGACATTGCAAGCAAAAACGTGAAAAAAGAACTGGCCGCTGGCCACCCGCCAAACAGACTTGGCAGCTCGGGCTCGGACCTGGGTCTCAGACCGGCTCACTTCTTTTGTGGACCACGCCCTCGCCCTCGCCCTCGCTTGGTGGGCGCCTGCTCGGAAACTATGGACAGCAGCTTCGAGATTTGCTGACCGGGCTTCTTCGACGAAGAACTCGCCGCGGGCTCTTCCTTGTTCGCTTCAATCGCTTTCTCCTGACATTTCGGCTTGCCCTTGTCACCCTTGTCCTTCTTCTTCCCGTCTTTCTGCTTGGAGGAGTCCTCAGCACCGGCAATCTTCGCGTCCTCTTCCTTTGTTACAGTTGATGCTGCAATAAAATACATTTAAGAAATTGTCGCAAAGATTGCGGCTCATTCAAGCGCACTTTGCTCTCGAAGTCTCAAGTCAGGCACTCAGGCACTAACATAAATTACACTAATAAGTCACATAAGTCTAAAAAAGCACAAATCACTTAAGGCAAGACTTTAAGGCTTTAGGGCTTAAACTTTAAGGCTTAAGGCATAAGACATGGTTATTTGAATATTAGAAGGGTTTACGAGGTTTACGACTTCATGATCTGAAGGCCGGCTCTAGTATTACAATTCAACGCAAAGGACGTTGAATTTAAAAACTCAACAGCAAACTTCGGGGCAGAAGCAGAATTAGTATCTGTCATGCATTTACTTGTCAGTAAACATGGCATTGTCATAGAGAGATGACATATGCGACATATGCCATAAGCCATGCCATAAATTGATAATGGCTTTTCTAGAAAAACACTTGTTATATATATATATATATATATATATATTACGTGCCTGGCATACGGTATACACAAGGACTTTGGGGCCTTGCTAGGGCCTTGCTAGGGCCTCAGGGCCTTAGGGCCTTAGGGTTTGCCGCCGGCCTTCGTTTTGCGCTTCTTCTCATCCTTGTCCTTGTGCTGCTTGTCCTTGTCTTTCTCTTTCTTGGAGTCTTTCTTATCCTTCTCTTTCTTCTCTTTCTGGGGCTTCTCGGGTTTTCTCGCTGCCTCATCTGGAATCTCAGAGGCCTTCTCGGCGGCGGCAGTGGAGTCCTTCTTTGCAGGTTTCGAAGATGCAGTGAGTGCAATGACCTCATCCAGGATGTTCTTGCCCTGCGCCTTCAATCCTGCAGTGATTGTGTCGTCGGCAAGTTTCTGCAGGTTGGCCTGCAGGGTAGGCACCAGCTCGGACAAGCTCTTCAGTGTTTGCTTGCCGGCAGGACTTGATTTCCCCAAGTCTTCCGAGCGAAGTAGACACAACCCGGCAACAAAGGTAACGTGGAAGGCCGCAACAGACGACATGCAGGAAGCAGTGGCAACCAGGCCCGAGGCCTCATCGTCGTTTAGCGGCACGTCGAGAGTGAAAAACCCAAACTTCACTTTGTCGAGCATTGTGACCATCTTGAGTATGCCCTTCACACCGTCACAAGACGAATCCAACTTTGGGCTAGCTGTTGCCAGCGCTTGCGTAACTTGCAAGGTTTTGCTACGATACTCAGATTCGTCTGTTAGGGATGGCAGCTTCTCGCAGATCGCACGGACGCTCTCCGACTCGGCGCTCAAAGACTTGCAAAGACTGCTGTACTTCTGCTTCAAAGCGCTCCCGAGGCACACGCCCTGTTTGTGCAGCCACTCGTCTACTGAATCGAGAGCCGATGCCTTCAAAGCCTCCTTGATGTCGACATGCTTGGATGCCTCAGCCCGTGCCTTTTCCAACCCTTCGGCCATGGCCAAGAGGCCTTTGCACAAAGCCAAGTCATCAGCTTTGGCTGCGTCGCCGCGCTGGATCGCTGCGACCTGCGGGCGAAAGTCTGCTGAGACTGTTCGGGGCCAGGCATGACATGGGACTGTTGGACTCCAGCCAAACAAAATAAAAGCAACTACAAATATTGATAATATTGACAATCACGACAACCAATCCAACAATAAGTCGGAAGAATGATCGGAAATTCACTAGACTCTGCGGATACTATGACTGTCATGACTATGACTCTGACTCTGACTATATACAGTAGTAAGTAATAAATCGTAATAAGTAATATATAGGACTCATAGGACTCCAGGACACTAGACTCTCACTAGACTGCCTCCAGAACCTCATCCGGAACATCAGGCATGAGCTGGTGCTTGTGGCTTAGAATTATAATAAGTAGAACGTGCTTATGATTGACAGACTAACATAAATTATATCTGTAAGTTTTTGAATTTTTTGTTTAAGTACAGTCATTCACCGAGATTGAGGCAGTCGACTAGTGACTAGGAGGCTGGGCTGGACCATCATAGATAGAATCATAGACTGACTCCGCCTAAAATCATAAAAAAACAACCAGCTGTAGGCAGGTTTGTCCGGTCAGTGGGCAACCATCACTCAACAAAAAAGCTCATCATTAAACTTTACAAACTTGAAATTCTGGCATTAGGGCGCTGTTGACATGCACATTAAAGAATTATGTCATACTTCTGACGTATGACTTATGACTTATGACTCATGACTTATGTTATGATGTCATTCTAAGATTCTATGATATGATTCTGGTTTTTGATTATGGATTAAGCCTATGGCCCTATGGCTATGTCCAATTTAATTTATTCTGGCAATTATTATTGCTATTATGGCACATTGATTATTTGATTCACGCGATTCGTTCACGGCTCACGATGGTTTGACAAGGCAAACACTCCGTCAGCCCCCTACACACCGGGACATTGTCATTGTAGTCCTGTGTCAGTGTCACATGTGAGTGGGAGTCTCCTAATAGCCTAACAGCACTTACTTGAAGCATGGGCCTTAAAACAGGCTTTCCCAAGTGTCAAAAAACACACCACGTAGCTAAAGAATGAGTTGAATAAATGAAACAAACAATCAATCACGGACATAAAGTGGAAAATTGGAAAACGGAAAACATCCAGGGTCGCCTCCAGGAAGCAGCAAACCAAGGAACGGAGTGGATGAGCGGCTGGAATCTGCTGCAGCAGCTGTTCCTGCATGTCTTTGGCCAAGCCACCACCCAACATGCCACTCTTGCACTGTGCCACAATCTGTGATACGCTGCCTAAGCCGGACGAAAAAAGACCCTTCAAGTGATCGCGGCATGGGGTCAAGAAGAGCTCTTCGAACTGTTGTTCGCACATCGTTGGCTTTGACTCTGACGTTGGGTCGGGAGCTTCTTCTTGCTTTTTCCGGGCTTGCAACCAACGCTTGAGACCCTCTGGCAACACTGTCACCCATTCACGCACTACTGTGGGGCTCCGCTCCATTGTTGGCAGATGACCAAAGGCTGGAAGCCGGCGGAACACAAAGTCACCAAGCTGGCACAGCATCTCAGAAAAGGTCTTGTACTCCGACAGCCACTTCACCTCCTGAGGTGGCAGACTCTTCCAGAAGCCACTGTCCACGTAGTGAGTTTGCTTCAAAGTTGGCCAAATGTCGTCCAAGTTGATCAGCGAAGGCTCTGACTCTGCCTCTTCGGAAAGTCCGACTTTGCCGTCGTGGCTCAAAGCCTCGCACATGAGCGACCTCAGCATCAGTAGAGTCACAGCTGTTATATTAGTCGTCAAGTTTGTTAAGTATGAGTTGTCTGAATTATCAGATCTAAGACTTCAGGACTCGTATCCGAGAATCCAATAGTCAATAGTCCAATAGTAACGTAAACTTAAACTACTGGTATATTATATTAAATTAAATAAGAAGTCATGAATAAGTAGTATAATCTTACTAATCTCTAGGGCTATCATACAAATACCGGCCACTGCAGCAACTGAAAAGGAACTCGCATCCCTGCAAAGATCAGTGTCCGAATGCAGGCAAGTCGCAAACACTCAACCAAGTTGGCGGAAAACAAATTTTCCGACACTTCTTTCAAATGGGCCAGAAAGTCGACAAGGACGGAGTCCAAGCGATTGTTGATCTTTTCTGCGTTGCGGCTGACCAATGCGCCTTTCTTGGTCTTGAGGGCTTTTGCCTTCTGGGTTGCATCTTGCCATACCACCTTTAGCGGTTCGAAAACTTTGCTGATCAGTTCCGACGGCCCGAGGCCCGCAGCCATGAACCTGAACTGAGTGACTTCTGCGGCAAACTTCTCAAGCGCCTCCTCAGCATCGGCTTCCTTCTTGCCGGACTCAACCTTGGATATTGCCAAGTCCCACAAAGTCTTGCCAGTAGGATGCTGCAAAAAGAAGCGCTCGATAGCGCTTGCTTCGGTGCTGTCATCCTCCTCCTCCAAGCTTGTGCTCAGAGCATCAAGACGCTCTGCGTCCTTCTTGAGCTTCGACATTTCGACTTCGGCGTGGCCCAATATGTTGGCTGCAAGCTGGGCTGCCCGGCACAGCGAGGCTGGAAGGAATTCAAGCGAATCAGGGCCAGAGGCCGTTTCCAGCATCGCTAAGCACAGATTCCTGGCCTCGGCCAGAGGCCCCTCCTCAGGACAACGCGAACCACTCAAACCAAGAAGATGCTGAGCTTGAATCGTCCGCAAACAAGCCACAATTCTGTTCTCGGCTTCCATGACCATCAAAGCCTCCAATTCCCCCGCGTCCAGCTGCTCTGCCAAATCTTTCACAAGGTCGTTACTTTTGCAGAAATGCAACCAACAGTCGGCATACTTGCTGTACAAGCAGGACTGGGTAGCCTTTGCCATGAGATACCGCAGGGTGAAGTGGGGACCGAGCTGAATGTTCTCGAAATGCTTCGATGCTGCCATGGCCTGTGACGGGAATGTGCTCATCTGAAACTGACTTGAACTGTTAACCTGTGATCCCTGACTCTACCACGGGACAACACAAACTCAAACTACTAACAATACACTAACAACACGATCACCACCAAACCCTAAAGCCTAAAGGCCAAACCCCAAATCAGCTTGAACCCCCTAAACCCTGAGCAACCCAAACCCTGCAACCCAAATCACCCTGAGCCTTAGCCTTAAACTTAAACACTTAAATCTAAACCCCTATAAACCCTAAACTCGACTCAAACTGACCCTAATCAAGTTAAGTTAACTAACTAAGATAACTAAAACTAAGACTAACAAGAACGACTGGAAAAAAAAAAGATGTTCTGAGACTAGACTATGCCATCCAGGCATTAGGCAGATGGCTACGAAAAGGCATCTAGCATTGAGGCTTCACGCAGAAAACTTAGACTTGCGGATAGTGACTGCGGCAAATGGCAAATGGTAAGGGCCATTTGGCATTTGGGCTACAACCGGACCCCAGGCCTGAAGCCGCTAAAGCCGACACGTTGGTCCGACGTTGGTTTCGGAATTAATCAGACAGACAGCCCGCTAGTCACTAGTCACCGGACCACAGTAGCAGTAGAAGGCTTTATGGCCGGGCCTTATTTAATATTTACCTCTGTTCACACATTTTGGCTAAGCATGCTCACGCTAAGCCGTCAGCCTTAAGCCTTAAGCCTTAAAGCCGCTTAAGCCTGAAGCTTGCCTTGAGCGCACTACACCGACGCAAGGCCTAAGCCTGACTCCGAGCCCGCCTCTCATTCTTGCCACATGACATGTTTTAACCCAGCACTGATGAATTCCATGTGCAAGTATTATGGCGGTCAGCTTTCAAAATCAACACCGTCGCAACAATTAAGCCCGTAAATTCTCAACTTTACAACCACTTTGGACTCTAGACCCGTTAGACTCCGTTAGATTTCAGACGCATACTGAATTAGTGATAAAGAAATTAGCCGAGTAAGCCTGCACAAGCCGCAACATAGCCTGGGCCTTTGCAAAGCTGGGTGGGCTGGACTGACACATCGAAAATAGATAGTTTCTTAAATGAATATGTCATATGTCATATGTCGTCATAAATAGGTCATATGTTATTTCAAGTTTATAAAACAAAGAAAGCCAGGGCGCTGCTTGGCTGGCTTCGAAAGTCGAACACAAAGCCTCCGAGTCTGTGGCATCTGGCAAAGCAGCAGTCAACAACTTCGCCAGGCCTGAGGCCGCTTCCGAGAATTTGTCGAGCTGCTCCAACTCTGAAAGGATATGGTCTTTGTTGGGGCTCTTTTCCATGCGCTTGAAGAGGTCCTTGGCAACCTTCGACATGGCAGTCAACTCCTTTGACTTGCCACTGCTCTGCAGCCGGTGTGCAGCACGGGAGTCCTTGTCGGGCTTTGGGGGCTTCTCATCCAGATCCACATTGCGCAACCTCTTGTCGAGGTCTTGCAAGGTGTCCCTGCACGTGGACAAAGTCCTCTGGGCTCGGCCATCCAAGCTGAGCATGTTCTGCTCACGGGGCTGGTCTTTAGATTTAGACTCTAAAGACGGCGCAGCGACGGTGAACTTCTGGCTCTCTGGGCCGTTGTCGCTGGAGTCTCGGGCCTTCGTCTCGCTTTTTTGCTTGAGAGCCGACTTCCTCCCCGTGTTGCCAGAACTTTGCCCAAGGAAACCTTTCTTGAGAGGAGACTTAGCCTTGAGGCCCTTCAACTTTGCCACCTTTGCCTTTGGCCCTGAACCCACAGGAGCCTTGCTGCTGCCACCGCCTGCTGGGGCGGTCTTAGCCTTAGCCTTAGCCGCCTTGGCTTTGGAGCCAGGCGCTGCAGCACTCGAGGAAGTTGCTTTCGCACTGGCCTTTGGTGGTTTCTTCACAGCTGCCGAGCTGTGCCCAAAAAAACTCTGAGCTTTGAAATTCTCGTCCTCACTCGAGTTCTCGTCGGAGCTGTCCTGCCCAGAGCTGTTGCGCGAGGACGATGACTCAGAACCAGAGCCTGAGGCCGCCTTCTCCTCGCCAGTGCTTGGCAAACTTCCTTGCTCTTTCATCTGCAACACTATGCTGGCAAGATCCAGCTTCCGACCCTCCACAGCAGCAGTGTTCCTTTTTGCTGACACCGCCTGGAAGGCTCGAACGCCTGCCTTGCGCTTTCGGCTTAAAGCCTCGTTCCCAAAGATGGCCTGGAGTTCAGAGTCGTGCTCGATATGTTGTTCTTTCATGCTTCGATCATCGTATTCTTCGTAATCGAACACGCCTTTCTTGCCGACGGCCACCCAAATGCCTTTCTGAACTTCCCCCATCACTTCGAGCTCCTCGACTTTCGAAGGGTCCCAGGGACCACCATGAAGCTCCGGATCCCAGCCCTCCTCTGTCACAAACTGCTTCTTCGGAGCCAGCAACCGCCCACCGATGGCGTGCTCTTTGAGCAGTTTGGCTGCCTGCTGCACCTGGCCTTTCGAAGCCAGCTTCACTTTGTCTGGGTTCTCATTATGTTGCTTGATCCATTCTTTTCTGCTGGCAAGGAAACCTTTGTGCTTTGGCTGATTTTCCTTCTTTGAAACCCAGTCAAAGTAGGCCGTGTAGTTTTTGTGCTCCTGGTTCAGGCCTCGGCTGGGAGCTGCAATCTAAACGGTCTAAACGTGCGCAGACACAAAAAAAAACGTCTACGGCCTGGGGCCAAGGTTTCAAGGGCTTAAGGCAGGCTTAGGCGGCTTGCTTAGGCTGCTTGGGCGGTCTAGGAGTCTAAATTCAAACTGAAATCGGAACTGCGGAACATCAAGATTGAACTGTTTGAGCACGGGGGCACCGAAACGGTCTAAAGTCTAAAGTAAAGTTTAATAAAGTAAAAAGTACAAAGTGATTCGTAGTACAGATGAAGCAACCCAAAGCTCGGAACACGTTCAGACAAATCAAGTCGATCTTCCCTTCAGGAACACGAACTGTTTCGCCCTCAAACTGCACCTTCCTATACTTCGCCCATGGAATGACTCCATCAGCTCCAGGATCATCAAGAGGCGTAGGGTCGGTGGACGTGGCCTGACAAAGGCAGCACACCGAGGCTTTCGAGCACGAGTAGACGATGCGGTAGCCCGTCCCGCCATAGACGGAGCTCTCCGCCACAGTCGGGGCACGAGGTGCTGGCTGCTGCTCGGAGTCAGAGTCCTGGACCTCTTCAACTTCTTCAGTCTCTCCGTCAGCTTCTGCAGCCTCAGCTTCAACCTCCTCAGGCTCTTCACCGGACTGAGACATGGCCTGAGGCCAAAGACCACAGAAACCCGGCCCAAGGCCTGCGCCCAGAGCCTCGTCGAAGAAACTCACAAATCACCTTGGATGTTTTAAGCTTTAAGTGCCTTTAGGATTTAGGGTGCAGGGTTTAGTTAGGGTTTAGGGGTTAGGGCCGAGGCGGCTGAAGGAGGCCTTCGACCGGAATAAGGAGGGGAAGGTGTGGGGAAAAAGGGCGGGAAGGAGGGGGGTGGGAAGGCAAGGGTGGGGGAGTGAAGTTGAGCGTGGAAGGGGGGGGCAGGGCGAGACTCTTACTGTTTCTTTCAAATTAGAGGGGTAGCCCCCCAGCGGTAGCTCTCGCCAATTTTTTACTGGGCCTCAAGGGGTGGGCGGTGGGCAACCCCAAATGGTAACCTCAATCAGAACAGCCGAGCAGCGGTCGCAGGCGCGCGCCGAACTCTCACAAGTCCCTTGAACAAATGCCGGCAGGCAGTCGGGAATCTTTGGAATAGTTCATACACCAGCATTAATAGCTTAAATATTTACAGATTATATAGAATATGTCCAAACATATGTTTAATTATTTCTAAAGATATTAAGAATATTTCAAAAGATATTTTCAAACTTTGTAAGAATATTTTGAGAATATTTACAAACAAAGTTAAGTAGAGAAAACACAAAGTTAAGTAGAGAAACGACAAAGTTAAGTAGAGAAAGCACAAAGTTAAGTAGAGAAATGAAAAAATATTGTTTGGTAATATCTTTAGAAATATCTTAATATCTTTTGAAATATCTTTTGAAATATTCTAAAATAATGTCGAAATATTCCAAAATATTATCGAAATATTTGAACTAATGTTTAGAAACTATTCAATAGTACTCAGATAATTTAATATCAGGAACTTACATAATAGGTGAGACTTGTAAAGCTAAGCGGCTAAGCGTTTAGATTAATCATCCCTCACGGTTCTGCATCTCCAACTAAATAATTCGAAAAGAAACAACCTTGGTGTTGGTCTGCTGCAGGCTCCAAGACTCTTGGAATGGCCAAAAAGTTCAAGCTCAGAGACACGAACAACCCAACTGCTCAACAAACAGCTGCCGTTTTTTGCTGGCCTGTTTTCGGGCACGACATCACGTCACCGCGCAGGCCTTAGCTTGACTCAGGCTTTGAAGCCACCTGCCACGGACATGCGCGCTCACGCCGCAAATAAACTCGCAACGATGATCGGCTGCTGTGACACGGCGGCTCGAGGCCCAAACTCGCACACTGGCTGCACAGCACGCTTGCCGGTCGCCCCACACCCGACACCCGAGGCCCAAGACCCAAAGCCTAACACCCCCTAGGCCTTACGCCGATTCCGTAAGCTCAGCAAAGTCAGAAAGTCATGGACACATAGACAAGGACTGAGTCCATTGCCAAGGCCAAGACGGAAAACATTCACATGTACGGATCCCACTCTGCCGGCTGCGAGGGCAGGTAGAAGCCCAAGTCCTCGTGCACTTAACGGCAACTTCGGTAACGCGGGCTCTGGGTTGAAAAGTTCTGAACCTGCTGGAGTTGGCTGGGCAAATCTGCGGCCGCAAGGACTAAAGTTTTCAAACCCTCAGGCTCTCCAGCCTTCTGAGAGTCTTGGGTCAGGTTACGAGCCTCAAGGCTTGTACTCTGAAGCTCTAGGGCTCAGGGCTACGGGCTTTGGCTTTGGGGGTGGATTATGATCAAGGCTTAAGGTTTTTCTCTGCTTACGTGAACGTGCCTTGCGTCGCCTTCCGTCATAGGGTCCGAGTCATAGTCATAGGGCCTAGGGCATACGTCAATCTGAGTCGTTTAGCTTACTGGCTTGAAGCTTAGGCTTAAGGCCCTTAAGGCTGAAGTTTTGAGTCTCATTAAATCAAGTTATAAGGCTTGAAAAGTCTTGCCGCACGTAGGGTTAGGCCGTAAACTCGTAGACTAACTAGGCCCGAGGCCCTGAATCCTGCGCTGATTAAGCCTATAGCCTATAAATCTATAATTATAACGCTAAGGCCTTATGCCATGCCACCTTATGCCTCATGTCTTATGTCTCTAAGATATGATGTGATATCTTACGTCTTAACCGTCATGTGAAAACTTGCATGTGGATGTTCAGTCCTTTAGAGTTGCCACATCGCCGTCAACAAGCCTGCCTGGATCACGGCAACTGAATGCAACCAAAACAGTTCGAATGCCGAGCCAATCTCCAGTAGCATGTTGCTGTGCAGCATCGAAGGTCGCTCCGACCCCGCTTAAAGCGCGTCCCGTGGCTCCCTTCGGCGCAATCTCAATTTGCTCCAGATTGCCTCCAGATGTTTTTAAAAGAAGCGGCCCGCCCAGCCACCGCGAAGCTGGCAAGATCAAGCTCAGGCTGTCAGGCATGTTGTTGGAGTCGCAATGCCAGGAGGATTTAACCTGTTTTGAAACTGTTTTGTCAAGGACCCGTGCCAAAAGCCAACAAGGCAACGTGACATCAGGCATTGTAAAGACTTTGACTTTCTACTATAGCAACTGCAGTATATATATATATATATATATATAGCATGCTACTACAAGCATAGTCATCCAGTAAATTTAGCTGACAAACACATATATTTTATATTCATGTTATATATACATATATATAATATCATCATCAATACATATATTTTTATATTTTCGTATTATTCTGTTATATGTATATATAATCTGATCTAATATATAATATATAGATATATAATATAATATATACATTCATACTTCACAAAACAATATCCATCCTGCCTATCGATCTGTGACCGGTCCGTCCGTCATCTATCCTTAGAATTTGTTCTCTATCTAATACTTGCCTACTTTTTGTAGAAACATATCTGCCCCATTCTTACGCCGATCCACACACAATCCCCTGCTCACTTCAGTCCGCCGATCAAATGCAAAACAAGTGACATCTCTGATCAAGGCCATGGTGGTGAAACGATGTGAGGGCGAATGCGTTCTAAAAACCTGGGCCAGAAGCCGAGCGCAAGTCGGGAACCGCCTTGTGGATGCTCTCAGCTTTGTGATGCCACCACGCGAGAATGCACCAAAGTAAATGCATTTGGCGCCATCATTAGCAGCTTCTTGAACTCCAAGCCGGAGGCTGTCTCCAGGCAGCCGATCGCAAAGTGTCTGGACATCAGCGAAGCTGAGAAAGCCTGGCTGGGGCTTCAAGCTGAGTGAAATGCACCACTGCCTTCAAAACATTAGCCCTGAGGCTTCAGGCAGGCTTAGGCTTAGGTCTTGGGGCTTAACATATTTATTTAGAGTTCTTTGACTTAAACTCTTGAGAGTGAGGCTGGGGCCTGAAAACCCGAGTCCTAAGTAGAGTCTTAAATCTTGAGACCATGAGGCTTAAGCCTAAGACCTAAGACTTGAGGACCTAAGCCTAAGCTTAAGGAACTTAAGGACTTAAGCCTAAGGCTTCAAGCTTACAGTCTAAGGAAGTTTGATGTGGCCTTGTCGAAAACAGGAGCACGCGATGAACTCTGCCCCGGCCAAAGGCCCAGGAGCTGCTAAAAGCGGAGGCGTTGAAGCATCGGCATCATGACCAGAGCCACAACCAAGCTCATCAGCCTTGGCCACTGCGTAGCCCGTGTTTGATGGCTGCTGCAGGAAGAAGGCTGGCAGCGGCATCACGTCCGCCTGAGGCGCTCTACTCTTGACTTCAGCAGGATAGAACCGCCCTTTTGATTCTGTTACTGTTGCTGACGATTTGATGAAGGTCAGCTCGTGCTGGGCATCATCCGAGTCTGAGTCTGGGCCCAAGGCTGCGTCTGAGTCTGAGTCCGTGTTCTCTGTCCCTGGGCCTTCAACGTCCGAGTCAGTGGCGGTGCCCGAGCAAGGGGCCTGGGATGGACTGCCTTCGTCTTCAGCCTCGGCCCTGCTTGCCTTTGAACCATCATCTGATGGGCCGCGGCTGTGCTCATCCTCATCGTCATCATCATGACTGTCATGTTTATCATCATCAATCTCAATCTCCAACGGTGCAAAGATGCTCGGTGTCTGTGCTAAGAATGGATGATCAAGATCAAGCCGCTCGAGCCCATCGTTGTGAGGGCCTTTCACAAACTGCCGCCACGCTGGATTTGCAGCTGCGATGCACGAAGGAACATCATCGAGCGGGTCGTACATTCTCCTAGGTCCTAGACCAGAGCTAAGGACCTACGATACTACAGCCTACAGGGCTTTAGGCTCGGACAGACTTTTAAATTGCCCAAATGGCTGCGGCCGCAAATGCCTCAAGCCCTGGTGCTGTGAGTTTTGGCCTGCCTCTGGCATTTCACATTGATTCCTGGCCACGCGGCATGCAGCGCCCTGTTTTTTTATCAGGAGGAGTTCCGGAAGTGCGAAACGCACTGGGCCTAAGGCCTTGGGCCTTCGGCGCCTTCACATCGTTGCCTCCAGTCAATGAGTCAAGGTGTCAAGGAGCTTCTGACTTTCCGCTCTGGAAGCAAGGACTCGACCCAAGGCCTTCGGCCTTTGGCCTTTGCCATTGCCTCCGTTCAGTGGGCTCTGACTGAGACATGGCCCAAGGCCCAAGGCCTTCAAGCCTCAAAGACTCAAAGATAACTCAAAGACTTGGCTCGAAGCCTAGGACTAAGGACTAAAGACCAAGGCCTAAGGCTAAGACGACACATGCTGCACAATCCTGTCCAACTCCTCCGACGTCTTGCCCTGGGAAAAATCCCGGAGGAGTATATTGCCCATGCTAATGTGAAACTCTCGCTTCTTCTCCGGCCAGTCCTCGTCATCCAAGCCAGCCACCAGCCACCGCTTCAGCCGCAAGCGGCAAACATCATGCGGCAGCCCCCCCACCGCCGAGATTTCTTTTTTGCAGATCAGGTCCACGCCAGGGTCTGTGTGCCGGTGGCACAAAGCACTGAAACCCATGTGCTGGCCGGCCCGATACACTGGCGCCAACTGGAACGCCGGGCAAGAGCCCCAAACAACACTTCTGCGCTGCATAGTGCGAGGTCTCCGCTCTGCTGGCGCATCTGGCGGTGGGGGGACTGCCGCCACCTCATTCTCATCTCTGGCTTCAGCTTCGGCTTCAGCCGGACGAGATGCAAGGACGCTGCCAGAGGCACCGGAGCTGGCTGCTCCGGAAAAGCTGGGTTGCACATTCTCCTGGCGAGATGTCACTAGGCCGAAGGCCATAGCTGCTTGGTCTTTCTCAGATCCTGATGATGAGGATGAGTGACCCAGGCCCAGTGCCGCTGCTTCAAGCTTCTCCAGCTTTGCCTTGTCGACCGTGGCTGCAGAATCCTTGCTGCTTTTCTTTGCACTACTGCCGCTGGCTTTGCCAGTCCCTTGCTTTGGATCAGGCTTCGGCTTGGGGTTTGTCATTTGTCGAAGAGCAGCCAAGGCTGCTGCCTTCTGGCGCTCGGTTTCACGAGCTGCTTTTGCCTCACCGGGATCAACAAAATAAGAGGATGTAATGTCAAACTCGCTGAGATCCCTGACCCGACCCACTGCCAGAACGAAAAACGCCCAGTCGGTGGCTTGCTGCGCCAAGGCGTGAGCCAGATCCTTGTCTGACATCAGGACCAAGTCCCCAGTGCCTGTTTTTGCAAGCTTGAGGCAAATGTGAACCCCATCCCCCGGAACATCATCACGGACTGCCAGCTTGGCAAAAGCCGCATCAATCGGCGGTTTTCGAGTGTGGTAGGCCAGCACAAAGTACTCAGTGACGTCGGTGGCATCCGAAGCCTCGGCGGGGGCTCGGCTAAAGCCTAGGGCCTAGAGTCTAGAGTCTAGAGCCCACAGAAAGTCTAAAACTAAATGTCTAAAGTCTAGAGTCGAAAGTCTTAAAAGTCGAAAGTTTCTAAAGTCTAGAGATTTCACTGATATCACCTGGACCAGAAACAGAAACGATGAAGTGCAACAACCATGCGAGTTTCACTCGCGACTTGCGAGTGCTTCAAAAAGTCACCATGCCATACTTTGCCATGCTTCAGAACTAATCAACTGAACTAGTTTCAAGTTACTCAACTCCCCGGCCACCCAAACATCAAGATTAAACCTCCAGGTTTCAATGCTTGTAATCTCAACCCTAAGCCTTTACCTTGGCCTTGGACTTAAACGAACCAGCTAAAAAATTGAAGTTTAAAGTTTAAAGCTTATTTATAACTACAATTACGGTTATAACTACAATTACGAATAATTACGAGTCTAAATGTAAAAAGTCGAAATCCCTCTGCAGATTCTGCTGGAGTAGCCAGGCCCAGAACCAGGGGCTCCTCCGTGTGCGCCGACGGCAGTGGAGCGTGCGTCATGATGACGTGAACCAAAACATCGTGCAGCTCGCCAAAGGCGGTTTGCTGCGAATCATTCAGGGTGGCAACGCATGACCGGCGAGAGCACTTTGCAAAAAGCGTATACTCCGACTCAGGCCACGCGTCCATGGAATCAAAATTCTCTGGCTGGAGCTTGTTGGTCCGCTGACGGAAAGCTGTCACTTTCGCCTTCCTGGCACCATGGTGTTTCACAATCACCCGTCGGTCAAGGGGAAAGCCGCTGCTCGAGGCTATGTTCCACGGACCGCCAGCCGTCTCGGCCTGCACTCGAGCTCGAGCTTCAGCGATGAAAGCAGCTTTGCTTTGCAGATTCTGTGCTCTGGCCAGGCGCTGCCACTGCTTCCGATCATCGACGTCCAACGTTTGCCAAACGTTCTTGGCACGCCGCATGAACTGAGGCCAGCTTTCGACTTGGCCAGAGGCCAAGCGTCGTCGGGACTCTTGTGCGCAAAACATTTCCGAAAACAAATGCAAGCCCGTCGCCGAGGAATTCTTCCGCTTGCCTTTGACCCACGCCGGTCTGCTTTTGTTGTTGATGGGCTTCTTGAACTTGCCAGCTTTGATTCCTTGCTTTCTCCAGTTGTCCACCAAATGAGTGAAGGTTTGCGTGAAGTGCTTGGCTGCCAGCTGGGAAAGGCGCAGCTTAGGGCCTTTGGTCTCCGTCCACGAATTAAACCGAGCAAACATTCGCTCGACATACGTCGACGTTGGAACCACCCTGTCAAAAACTGCTGCCAGGAAAGACTCACACTTTTCACTCATCAAGAATGACTCACGCTCCTCATCAACGTCAGGCTCCGCGTCCACGTTTTCAGCGTCTTCGCTCGTCAACAGATCCTTTGCTTGGCAAAGCTTCTGAAGCTTGCCACTGAACGAATCCAGGCAGCATTCCTTTGCTGCCAAAAACTGGTCAGCAATTTTTTTCTTTTCATCCTGGCCACAGGCCTCCAAAAGCTCAACCAAACGCCAGGGGTACCGCTCCCAGCCATCAATGAGCTTTCGCCACATTTGGCCGATGATGGTAAAGACACACCGCCGCGTAGTTCGGAGCTTGTCTTGAGTCCATGTCAACACATCGCCATAGCATCCGACTAATGGAAGCCACAATTTGTGACGTGAGTCCGAAACCATGGACACGAGCAGTGCCAGAACTGTGTAGGCGGGGTTCATGGCTCCTTTGACAAATGCCGCCGTAGAAGCCAGGTCGGCCTGCAAGTCGTCCGTGTCCTCGGGCTGCACCCGCTCCGAGAGCCATGTCGCCTGTTTGAACAAGGCGAAATGAATTCGCATCACAGGAGCCGTTAGCACAGCCCACAGAAGGGTCAAAAACGCTGATGCCGCATCTGCCAGGAAAACAGCAGCTTTTCGATTTCGCTTTCTGGCCAACTTGCGCCAAAGCTTCGTCTGGTCAATGACCCCCAACTGCGAGGCCTCTGCTTCTCCTGCAGGCTCACCATCCGATTCGGAGGAAACCCGCCCTGAGGGCAATGTTGGAAAGCACTCTGCGAACACACCTGGCAGGATGCCGCAGAAGTGCTGCATCCCAGCCACAACCGTAGCACAAGGCGAAACAGTCGTCCATTTGTTCCTGGGTAAAGTCGCTGGTGTATTACTAGTATTACTTATACTTATACTGACTCAATATCAATTGAATTGCAAATGGCGGTTGAACACCTTGACTGCCCTGCATCTACTGTCTACTGGCAACTCAAAGAAAGGCCGAAACCCCAAACTTGGATTGAAACTGAGACTTGAACTCAAAACTTAAAACTTAAGACTCAACACAGACTTACGTAAATCAACTCAGACAAGTGAACCAATTGAACTTTGAACTGCTACGATAACCGAAATGAATGCCATGGCTGTGGCTGATGTACTTTCGCAACTTTAGTTCTCCTGTTTTGCTTAGCTAGCTCTTGGGACTGCCTTTCCACCACACCATGATGCCATAAGGCCACGCAGCAAGGCAGGGATGCACAGCTGCTGCACGAACAACCTTCGGACCAAGTCCACAGCCTTCTCGACGCTCTGCGCGCGGCTGTCACAGCAGCCATCTTTGCAAACGTGGGTGGGCGGTCCTGCAGGTCACAAAAGTGACAAAGACAAAGTTGACAAAGTCACACACAGTCCCAATTCTATGCATTGTCAGCTTCAGCTTGCACACGGAACCACACTGGCACACTGGTTGCGTTTTTTTTGGAAGCGCCGCGCTGTTGTGCTTCCAGAAGACTTGTGCGCTCAAGCAGCAAAACCAACGGCACCGACCGGAGGCCAGAACAGTCAAGGCTATAGGGCCATAAAAATATCAATCAGACTACCCTTACGCGGCACGGTGCCTTGGCCTTGCGCTCGATTCTTTGAGACTCCAAAACTCTACATGGTCTGGTCTGACACAATTAGCTTAGCAGCTCACTGAAAAGGGGCCGGCAAGATAGATCAGCATCGGCCATCGCAAAGAGCTCGCAACTTGCTCAGACCAGGCCAGAGGCCGGCTATCCGCGTCTTGGGGTGCGGTCGTAGCGGTAAGCAGACTCATAGGAAGGCGGTGGCAGCTGCGGCACACCACCCCATGTCCGCTGCAAGTAATTGGCCAGACTGATGCGGGTTTTGAGAGCGGCATCCACACATCCCTTGCCATGTGGACCCTGCTGGTTGATGTGCTGCGAAATCCTGGAAAAAGCCGCCTCTGAGGACCCCATCTTGTAATAGAGCCCGAAGAGGATCCTCTTCACCACATAGTCATTGCCTGGTTTTGGTTTCAACTTTCAACAACTACGGCTTCAGGAAAAGTTTGAAATTCACTAAGTTCACGGTAGGTCTTAGGCTCTGAATTTAGACTCTGACTACTGACTAAAGTGACTAAAGCCTAAAACAAAGTAACTTGGCATAGTATGAAAAGTTTTCGAGTTGCTAACTGTAAGTTCTGTCATGACTTATGACAGGTATGAGTCTTTCGTAACAGTTAAGTCAGTTAATTAATTAAGTCTAGCCCTAGCTTTGGGTTCCCCCAAAAAGTTTCACTTTTGGGGCTGTCTGCTTAATTTGTTAGGGTTGTGACTTGTGTTTTACTGTTTTACTGATTACTGCGTAAGAGTGTTTCAAGCCAAGCTATAGACAAGCTTCCTCTCGACGCAGCCATCATCAATGCTGTGGACCCAGTCAAAGACCGTGACATGATCGTCTGCACGCTGGAGTAGTCGATCAAACTCTTCAGGACGTTGCACTTATTGTCCGTAAAGACCCACTGGTCAACCAAAACCATGAGCGGAGTCCACATTGCTGGCTTTCCGTCGACCTTTGTGATTGCATCGGCCATTCCAGGATTTACTGAGAGGACTTTGTCACAGACCAGGTAATACCCCATCCTTGCAGCGTGATGCAAGATCGTCATCCCGTTCGTGTCAGCGAGCGCCATGATCTGCGCTGGGCCGAGCACCTCCAGCATCGGCATCACGTCCTGTGGTCGATTGGACAACCTGAGCGGCCCCCAGTTACGACAAGAAAACTGGAAAGCAACAGAAGGATACTTCACGCATGATCATGGTAGTCTGTAGACAGCAGTCATTAGTTGAATCAGGCTGCAATCCCAAACCGCAGAAAAGCAAATGTTTGAACATAACAGAGAAAACCGTGCAAACTACTATTACAGCTCTTTAACAACTTTAACACGTGAAAACCATACGTCCAAGTCTATGTCAAAGTCTGAGTCTAAGGCACATCAACCATAGTCATAGTCTTAGTAATCATAGACTGTCATAGACTGACTCATCAGCTTGACACGTGAATTACGACCAGGAAACATCGTGCCGAGCACTTTGTCGACCATGCCCTTGGTTGTGCGACGCTCCTCCTCTTGGTGCAGGAGTCGTTGCGTTTGGAGACGCTGGGACTCCAAGAGCTTGACAACCCGGTCCAAGACCTCACCGGCTGCCCCAGCTCCTTCGAGCTCCCTCATGACCTCCTCAAAGTCCTTTGGCGGTGCGTCCTCTTCTGCCTCTTCTTCCTCTGCTGCGGCGGCGGCGTCGTCATCCTGGTTTGCATCAGCAGGAGGTGCTGGACCTGGCTGGTAGTTGGCACTGTCGTCACTCTCTTCTGCATCCCCGACGGTGTCCATCTCGCGGCCTCATGTCTCGCAACACTGCAACAACAGTCACCAACTTAACTTACCTCTACTCATGAGTTTTGACCGATTTGACACCAAATGCCAAACACAAAAGAATCAAAAGAAGACTCCTTGTCCTGAAGCCTGAAGCATGATGACAGGATCCAAAATTCTAGGAAGCAAAATTGCCAAAGGCCGGACTCGTGTAGAAAAATGAAAAATGAAGCAAACACAAAAGCTGGCTTACAAACAGTCTGGATCGAGGGTCGGGGGGTCGACACGGCCGCAGGCCCACCACTACCAGAGGCAAGGTCAGTATTCATCATAAAGTTGGAAAGCTTGGCATCCAGCTGCTTCAGGTCATACATGATCGCTCGAAGGTTGCTGAACTGGCTTGCTCGAACCTCTTCTGTATCAGCTTCGCCAACGTCCTCAGACTGATGGTCCGAGTCCGAGACGCGCTTCTCTCGACGGTTGACGAGGCGATCCATGCTGTCAGCAGCATCGGAGGTAATGTTGACCAAGTCATAATCCCCCTCAGACGACGACTACTACAACTACACTATAACGGTGTTTATACAATATTCAATATTCAGTATTTGAGTATATGACATAGAATACTGAAATACAACCACACATAGAATATTTCACATTTTACGTTTAATATGATTTCTGATTTGTACACTGCGGATACAGTTGGAGCTACAAAGTGTTATAGTGTTATTATAACACTTATTATGGCCTACCTGCCTAGCTTACAATCTTCAGCCCTAACCGCTTAGGCTTAGGCCTAGGCTTACGTATGGAACTGTTACCGATTACTGGCAACTGTTAAAATTTAAACTTGCGAATCGAATGTAATGAATGAGCTCCAGGGGCATCCGAGTCGGCGTAGATGTCGGATTCAAATGCCGGGTTCGAGGTGACCATCTCGTACTGACTTGTTGTTCCTCCCTGGTCAGAGACCATGCCCTGCTCAGGGAACCCTGACTCAGAACCCGAGGCCGAGGATTCCTCTCTCTTCACAACTTGCGGGGGAGCCATGGGCTGCGGACACCGCCTCTTCCTGCCCTGCTCAACATCCTCCATAGCCATAGAGGACGACAGGCTGAAGTGCTGGGGGGCTGTGAGTGCTTTGGGTCTCGCCGCCACTGTCCTGAAACCCAGCTCGAGGCACTTCCTCCTGAACAACATCGGGGTCTGCATGTCGTTGAAGTCCACCACAATGTCGCGGTCAGCAGACCCTGCCCGGATGACCTTCTCCTGCTGAACCAGAAAGTCTGCTGGCCTGAGGGAAGCCACGCGCCCTTGGCGTTTAGGAGGGTAGCTGTTGAAGTCGACTATGTTGCGGCACGCCGTGACGTAGTTCATGGTCTCGTGGGCTCCCTTGTCGCACATGCGCATCAACATCGCTGCCAACAATGTCGAAGACCTGTGCGCTCCGTTCATGCAGTGGATGAGCACTGAAAGCCCGTTCAGAAGGTCATCGATAACCTGGTCCAAGACCTCCAGCACATAGCTCATCTGTATGTCACCTTGGCTTACGCCGGTGCCATCCAACGGTGGATACACCTTCAGGGTGACGCTCTCGGCGATCGCCGGCTTCTTCGCCGCAGGCAGGATGACGGAGATGCCGTTCTTCTGGAGGAGGTTGATGTCGCTGCTTGCAGCTTCACCCCCCAGCCAAAGGCAGCCAGTGCCAAGGTCCGGGCTTATTGCACTCAGGTCTAAGACCAGGTGAAGGGGATGCCTGTGGAGGGCGCATGACTAGATTCCTAGCTTAGGCAATACAACTTACAACCATTAACTTAACTAAACTATGCAACAGCATGGCAGGACAAACGAGCCCTAGGAATCCGGGGTCTTGGGCGAGACTTGACTTAACTTGAACTATCCGTAGAAGTAGAAGGTTTCAGCCTCAGCAGCGCAGGTCGTATATTGAACTTTATAGTGTTTCAGTTTGCAAGAAGGTAGCAGTGCAACTCATATTTAAACAAGTTAAATAAGTGCGATAACATTATTATATCGAATCAGATGTATTATGCGTTGGTTTGTTTCTTAACATGATACCATGACGTTACAATGACACAATGGCATGACATGACTATCATTATCGTTTTTCGGGTCTTCAAGTTGTTCTCATCAGTATCGCTCTAAATTCTGAAATTAATGTTCAGTTCGTTGTGTGATTGTAAGTCATTGTAAGTAATATAATATTTAATATAGTATAGTAATGTATGTGTTGGATGGAGTTTTGGACCGGCCTCGAGTTGTAGACGTTGCGGGCCCACTTGACCGCGTCCACACCGCCATAGCTGTCTGCGACAAGGACCGAGTTCAAGGCCTTTATGGCTCTCACGCACTTGTCGGTGTCCTCGAGCATCTCTTCACTCGGCCAGAGGCCTCGGCACACGTCGTGCCGCAGGTCCTGGGGATAAAA